GGACAAGTGCTCTGTGTTCCAGGAGTCTAAAGTAGTATGGCTGAATTGTTTTGTAATGCCTTTTTTTTTTTTTCTTTTGTAATGGATTAACTTGCATTTTTGACGAGAGAAGTAAATAGAAATATCTTTATCTTTATAAATACATTTATAATTCCAATTAACTGTGAAGAAACAAAGGGAACAGGTGCAGATCTGTTTTTCTTCTTGTGCTATCTTTAATCCTTGAACTTTACTGATGAGTATCATCCCCTGACTGATATGTTTTGTATGCTTCAAATCCATGTAGGCAGTGGAGTTTCTAAGAGATTTGGATATGAAGCTTGTTGTCTTTCAGCTGGTGAATAGATTTTGACTTATACAAGTCAAAATGGGTGGCTGATTGCTTTCTGCATTCCTTTAATGGTGCCAAGTTGCATAATGTGTCACTGGGATATGCTAGAGCAAGACTGAAGGCAAGTGCCATGGTTAGTGTTAGCTTTCTGTCTGCTTTATCATCAGTCTTTGGAAGATGGACCCAAAGTGAAGTAATCTGTTTGGTGCACGTGATGTGGAATTAGGTAATCATGGTCTCCTGTCCTTTTACTGGATCGGCTGTAGCATCTGGCTGGGGAATGAAAACTCCTGTTGATCTCTGTTGGCTCTCCCATTTCCTGACTAGTCCAGTTTATTACTTGTTTCCCTGCCCCCTCCTCCCACATGCTCAGGTTCCTTGTGTGTTTGCATTGGCATATTTACATCAAAACATTTCTATCTTTTAAAGGTAAGAGTACCATGAGGATGAAACTACTTTGGTCTTCACCCTCACAAATCCTTTTTTCTCCAATGTGAATGTATTGGGTTTAAACTCTATGCTTCCTCCTAAAACTCCCTACAACTTTTCTGCTTTTCCTGTAGGCTTTTATGCTTTTTTCATCTCTGGATGCTTCCAGTCTATTGACTTCCAGACTCCTTTTATAGTTATTTTCTCTTATCTTCCAGTGTCTTTCTACTCTTCCATTTAAATTTTGACAGTAAGCTGCTACTACCATGTAGCCTTACTTTATTTGATATGCCAGAATAAAGCCCTCATATTTGTGTTGTTAGTGTAGCTCACAGAACTTTGAGACAAGTTGTACCAAGCATTCATGTCTGTATGGGTGAAACTTAACAAATGACAGTCAGCTTTCAGGTGGGCTTGAGTGAATTGGTGCTAGATCTCTGGGGCTAGCTTAGTGACACCTTGGCAGAAAAACTTGAGATTGCCTGCAGCCTTGACTACAGAGGAGTTAAAGAGCTTGGAGGCATCTGCATTAAGACAAATGGAAAAAATGTTTTTGTGTGTTGTCAGTGTAAAATAAGCTTAAGTACAAGTCTTGCAGTCTGCTATTTTTCACCCTTGCAGGGTATTTTCACTTCACTGATTGTATTGTTTCTCCACTACCTGCTGCTGTTATTCATTGACTTGTTGAAACTGCTACTGTATTAGGCTATGCCTGACTTATTCAGTACCACCATAATGTGACTTTGGAGGATTTTTGGGAATGCGGTGTAGCAGTGGTTGCTAACTTTATGATGAAGTGATGATAGCTAATGCAGAGAAACATTTTCCTGAAAAGATAACCAATGAGTATTCTAAAATCTATGAAACTACTCAAAGACCAAACTTACTTATTTTGAGAATGTGGAGTCAGGCTAATGATAGGAATTTGAGGCTGTATTTGTCCTGTATTTTCAGTGTATCTTTTTTTAAAGAAGGTAAGGGAGGAATAATGGGAGCTGATAACTTTTAAAACAGCATGTACTTTATTTTGACTGAGCTGCTAGTAGTTGCTTGACACTTGTTGATTACTAGAGGGTACTCAATACCCTTTGAAGAATCAGTATTGAAAACACTGAGGTTTTTCTTCCCAGAATGGTATGTCATGTGGTGTTCATGTTTAGCACATATGTGGCCACATTAGATGAAGTCTCACATCTTGATCAGATGCTTGAGCATGTATAGGCATATTAAAGAATGTTTCTTAGTATCTTGTAACTCAACATATATAGCTGAAGATTGGTACTGGCTCGTGAACCTGAGTTACAGGAGTGCTGGAGTCCAAACTGAACCTCTGACAGAAATCTGAGAATGGAAATGTTGCTACACTGTTAAGAGGTTTCATAAAACCTCTTAGAGTTTAAAAGGGAGGTCTTGTCTACAAACCTGAAAAAGCCTTTGCCTACAGTTAGGTAGCATGTGCATTGTACAGTTCTATGGATGATCACCTAGGGTGTTGTTTCTCCTCAGCTTGGGGAATTATCACTCCCTGGCAGGAAGATGGAACAACAGTTAGGATAGTAATATCAAGTTCCTTGAGGAAGAGTAGTTCATTTTGACTCGAGGCAAAGGCATTCTTAATGCAGTGCAGCCTAATAAGAGATGCTGATACCATCTCTTTGCTATTGGCAGTAAGATCTTATATGATCTCTGTCATTAAAATATCCAAGTGCAGGAAGCTGCTCTTCAATCAGCTCATCTGCACAGCTCTTCTGAGGAAAGTGGATACTGGGACATGTGGCCAAAGTAAAGTAGGTTCTTCCTGAATCTTTAGAAATAATGCAAAAGGAATAGAGTCTGCCCATCTTCAGATAGGGTGCAGGTATGATTCCATACACAGGCTTTTTAACTCTTTTCCTTCATGAAACACTCCAAAAATCACTCTACGGTTGCAATGACAGTAACAAAATATTTTGTCAGTGAATCTTCTTTCAGTGATTACATTTGCTTGAGTCTGTTATGCTGTTCTTTGAACTAGTTAGAACTTTCATCATAAATTAGTGCAGCTTACTGTCAATCCTTGATAGGGTATAGTAATTATGATTGTACCTGAATAGAAAGTACAAAACAACAAATCTGAAATGTGATGGAACAGTTTAAAATGAAGGAAAGGTATGGCATGATTTGCATTGCAACTGCTAGGCAAGGGCGCTGGGGTGCTTCATTAGGGATACACTGTTTCCCCAATCCAAGTTACTTGCCCTGTAACTTAGACGTAGTTCAACTGCAGGAATCTGTCAGCATGCAAGTAAAATGGCAAATACAAAAAGCTTCACAGAATTGCTGTGTAACCTTCTTTCCCTTTCTGATTCCCTTGTTATTTGGCTTTCGTTTTTCTTCAAGTTTTGTGGAGAAGTAAAAGTTATGGATTCCCTTGTGACTGCTTCTCAAAAACAGTTGCACAATATGTGCTTCAGACATCTGCAGCCACTTATATGGAGGGATGGTTTCATATGTGGCATGAATACAAACAGATAAACTATGAAGTCCCGATTTTTATTTCTTGAGATAAGCTTCTTATTCCTATATCTTCTCATACACTGAATCTTACTCAGAGCATGTTTATCCTCAAGAATCATGTTGTTTTCCTTGTAATAGAAGTGATGAAGGTCTTTAGAACAGTTGCAGCGGTGTTTGAATATAATTCCTTGTTCTGGTATAGCTTATTCCTGTTTGGGAAGCAAAATAAACTAGGTGGATATATATACCTAAAACAGTTAGGGTATGCAGTTATTCATTTACTTAATAATGCTCCTATCTGAAAGTTGGTAGAACTTCTAAGGGAAGACCAGTCCTCCCATATGCTTAAGCGGGGAAAAAATCTTCTATGGAAAAAGCTCATAAGTTCTTTGGTTCTATGTTACCTTTCATTTCATGTGTAATTAATTAGATGCTAATCAAGACTCCCTGAGGCAAACCTGATTGTGTCTCTTACAAAATGGGAAAGAAGAGAAGATAGAAGTATTTAGGGATTGACCTTAGGTAAATAAAACATAGTTGTCAGAAGAATCAGAAATTTAGTCAAGACCCCATGTGTTCTGTCCTTTGGTAATTACTTTTTTCAGATCCTTAACTATTCCTTAAAAGAAACAATTCCTCATCTTTTCCTCACGTTATAGTTATAGCCTTGAAAATTTGAATGCAGCTGATGCAGGCATCATCTTATATTCTGCAGAAAACCTGAAATAACAATACTGAGTTGTGACCTGCTTCGTTAGCAATGAGGTTCTTAACTCTCAGATATAACACAGAAGTTTTAAACTGTTTCCTTGCTGATTAATTTTTGGGAAACTGATAGCAAGTTAGCTGCTTAAAATAATCCTGTCATAAGTGGGGGGGAAAAAGATGGCAAAAGTTTCTTCTCAGCTGCATACATATGCATTTTTCCTCAAGGTTATTTTGTGTCTTAAACCAAACCAGTGCACCATCCACACAGCTAGGCTTTAAACCTGTACTTACAAGCAAGGGGAAAGTATGGTCAAAGCACAGCTTGAGGTATAGAGGAAATGAGCTATAGCTTTGAGAACTTTCCTTCTTTAGCTGCATCTTAACTACAAACATGTAATTGAGATCACATTTTAAGTGATTCTATGAATCATCCCACAATTCCCATGACTTTTTGATCTTCTAATGCTTACTTCATAGTCTTTGCCACTGAAACCACTTGTTCTATATGCATATGTATCAATGTAAGATATCTAGTTGGCTTTTACACCGTTATAAGGCTGACCTCAGTTCATGTGCAGTTCAATCCTAGAAGATTCAATGTGCTGTTCAAAGAACTTGCTTCTTGCTGTATTCATGACAGTGACCAGCAAGAATTCTAGCATGAAATTTTTAAGAGAAACACCCAAAGGTGGACATCCTGAAGGCCTGGCCACAGGCAGGAGCAAGCAAATTGCTGTGCCTGTCAGAAAAAAAAAAACAATCAAAAACAAGAAGGCTGCCCTGCTATAGGCCAATGACAACAGCTGCAAGTCTGACGGCTCTCTACTTGCCATCGCATACTATAGTTTTCCCTCTCTACCAGCCTTCCAGCTACAGAGGACACACTACTGTGTGACAAGCTTCTCAACAGGAACGATTTGATTTTTCTAGAGTGGAGATGATGTGAGAAGTAACCATGCTGTGAAAAGTGAAGTCGGAAAGAACTCACTCTGGGGCTACTTACTCTAGCCATGGCTGAAGCTCATGCTTTTGGGATGTCTTTTAAAGAAATGGGGAAGGAAGATGCCCAGGAGCCACTGTGTCAGTGGTAGCTGGCATCTTTATAGTAAGTATGGGAAAAACATGGGAAGATGCTTTCGGGTTATGATCAATCAAGTTATTGCTACATAAAGTATTTAGTGCAGTGGGATGGTATTTAGCTTCAGTGGCAACTTCTATTGAAACAATGAGTCTAGCCAGTCTGTTTTCTGAGCACCTTCAGAAGACAAGCCTGAGAGTTAACAGGCATAATCGTACTTGTTACTAAAGATTTAAAATATTTGTTTTATGACACAATCTTCCTTTCCATCTTCCCCGCCCATGTATGTGCACGCTCTCTCTAATCTTCCTGTCATCTGTAGGCAATAGTTTACCTGTATTTTTCCACTAGTGAGCCACGTCATCAGTGCTCTCATCACTGACATTCCCTCCATCCTAGAGATGCCAATTTCCTTTTCTCTCAGATGATTTAACTGGTCAATGTGTAGTTTAACTCAGAATAATTGTTTCCAACTTGCATGTGATTGTTTATTTTTAACTCAAAGTTTTGTGTAGTCGAATACTTTTCTAGCTTACTGCACCTTTCAATTTGTGATAGACTATTCAGTTACTTATGATTTAAAAAAAAGAGATCAGAGCTTTTAAAACTCTTTCAATCTGCAGACCCCTACAGACTTCTCACTGAAGATGTTAGAATCTTGTGCAGTAAATTTAAGACTGCTAACAGTTTTATGTTTCTTATTTTTTACAGAACTTTTAAAAGTGTTTCAAGGACTTCCTGGGGCTGGTGGACTACGGGTTGAAAATCACTGGTTTAGAAAGGGGACTCCACCACAAACAAGAAAAGTTGCCCTTTCTGTTCTGGAACATCATGTTGGTCTGAAATAGCAGTAAAACTGAGACTTAAAAAAAAAAATTAGATCATTAAAATGTTTAAATGAATGAAAGTGGCTGATAGAAATGTCAGCAATGTCTTTTGGCCTGAATCTTAAACAGCAGAAGGTTCTGAAGTGATCAGTATATGCTTTTACTGCATCTTTATTTAAGGTTAAATACTTCAGTTATTTGGTAGAGAGGAGGTCCTAGCGAGCAAAAAATATTCTCTTCTCATAGCCTTAGTAGAACTCCATCTTTTAGATCTAGATGCCTTCCCAATGTTCTTTGTCAGAGTCCCAAACCAGCATACTAAGACAGGCGAGAACTTTGATCTCATATGATGCTGGCTGCAACTCACAGACACGTTAATTGCTAAAGCAGACTGGAAGATGCAGAGAAGAAGAGGGATAAAGATGAAATGCAGACTTAAGAGTGATCATCCTTGTGAACACAGGACTTAACTCTGCCTGATACCTACCAGCCTGCAATTCCTGCTTCTTTACCATGTTATCCTATGCTTTCATTGAGACAGTTCAGCCCTGGGTTGGTTGGTAGTCTATTCATGAACTGGAATAAGAACATCTGGCACACTTTTGCTTTACTTTCCTATAAATCCTTGTTTACATAAGAACAGCAGAGTGGCACTTCCACCATAGTATTGATGAAGCTATATACCCTGTGTTCAACTGCAGAGTCTTGGCACTTGATTGCACATTATTGCAATTTAACTTTCTTGAATATTCAGGTTCAAGCAGCTGTAATGTTTATAGCGTTCCATAACTTTGATTCTTGGTTCTTATTTATCAGTTTGCTTCTCTAACTTATTGCTGTGTGAGCATTTGGCAGCAAAAAATTGGAAAATTGCATTCAGATATTTTAATAAGCCATTTAAGTATTCTTTATGCCCTTTGTTTTTAAAAGGGCAGACAAATAATACTTTATATCACAATTTCTGTCAATTTCTGTTATGCAAGGTTCAGTTTATTTCCTTTCCCCAGGGTCAGTGGCAGGTGCCTGTCCCAGACCTCCCAGCTGCTGTATATTTACCCCATGCTAGATAGATATGTTTGTCTTTTTTAAGTGCTGTTGCAAATAATCCAGCATGCTCTGAAAATGCAAGTGCTTTTGGTTACAATGGCTTAAACAGTTCTGGAAGCTGTTTTGGCCTCATTTTCAGTCTACTAGCATGCAGTCAGCTGCTGTGTCGACTGTTTAAATATATAATAAACCTCCTGTTAATTTCTGTCACTGAATTTAATGCTTTGTAGGGCAGGGTTGTGACCTTTTTTTCAGGTTAATTTCAGTATTCTCCTTATAATGTGTCAAAGGCCTACTTCTCCAGTTTACTTCTCCTTAGAAAATCCCAGGTCTCTTTAGCATCGTGTGTTCCCTCTACTTCCTATGTAAATTTGAAAAAAAACCTGCCATTATGGTCACCTTTAATGGCTGTGTAGTAGGTAGCATCCTAGGTGTTGATTTATTCAAGGGGCTGGTATAGCATAGTGTGAGAATCCTACTGAGCTCTTCTCAATCCTGTAAGTTGTTTCTTCCATCCCCGAATCAATCTTGTTGATAATTGTCTTGAAGATTTTTGCTTCGGTACAAGACTGACAGCTGACTTTTTAACCGGTTATCTGTGTATCTACAGCATGCCAGGTAACATTAGCAACCTGCTGCTTGATAGTAGATTTTCTTGTTTGTATGTTGTGGTGCTTGGGAGAAGGGAGTGATGGGGAAGAAGCTCGTGCTATTGGCACAGTTTCATGAAGTCTGCGTATGCAGAGTTAGGTCCACTCCTGATCGTGTTGTGTGAGAAACACTGGTTTGTACCATCAGAACCAACTGTGGCTAGTGTGGAACTCTGTTCCCCTCCCCCTTTGTTGTCATGTCCATGCCAGCCTTTGTTTTGCTTGCCACATATAAGCAAGCTCTGACATACCCTCTGTCTTGTGTTCGTTAACAGTAATTGAGAAGCCTCACATGACACCAATTTACCTAGAAATATTGGATCTCTAGGATGGTAGTAGTGATAAAAGTGCTGGAAGTACTCTACTAAATGCTGCCAGTAAAGATCACTTCTGCATACTGGGCAGAGAGGAACCTCATGAAGTTCAATAGGGGGAAGTGCAGAGTCCTGTACCTGGTGAGGAATAACCCCACGCACCAGTACGGACTAGGGGCTGACCTGCTGTAAAACAGCTCTGCAGAGAAGGACCTGGGAGTCCTGGTGGACGGCAAGTTGACAACAAGCCAGCCATGTGCCCTTGTAGCCAAGAAGGCCGATGGTATCCTGGGCTGCATTAGGAAGAGCATTACCAGCAGGTCGACGAAGGTGATCCTTCCCCTCTACTCAGCCCTGGGGAGGCCTCACCTGGAGTACTGTGTCCAGTTCTGGGCTCCCCAGTACAAGATGGATATGGAGGTACTGGAGCGAGTCCAGAGAAGGGCTACTGACATGATGAAGGGACTGGAGCATCTCTCCTATGAGGAAAGGCCAGACTCTTCACAGTGGTGCCCAGTGATAGGATAAGAGGCAACAGACATAAACTGAAATGCAGGAAGCTCCGTTTGAACATAAGGAAAAACTTTTTCACTGTGATGGTGAAAGAGCACTGAACAGGTTGCCTACAGAGGTTGTGGAGTCTCCTTCCTTTGAGATATTCAAAAGCTGTCTGGGTAATGCGTCCTGGGTAACGTGTCCTGGGTAACACTGTCTGAGCGAGAGGATTGGACTAGATGATCTGCAGAGGTCCGTTCCAACCTCAACTATTCTGTGATTCTGTGACATTGGCAAAAATGGAGTGTGAATTTTTTTTTTTTTTGGGGGGGGGGTATACTGCAAACTGATTCTTAAAACAACTTGAGCTGATGAGGTAAGAACCTAGATATCCATCCTACAATGCTAGCACCAGCGCTGACGTGTTTCTTCTTCATTAGGCATGCAGAAGTACAGGTAGTGTAGATAATGTAGTGTTCCCATAGGCCTGTCAAACAGATTTATATACACAGGAATTGGTTACTGTTTGGGCAGTCTCTGCAGAAAGCTTGTACGGTAGAGTTATTTATTCTTAAGAAAGAGACCCAAACTTGTGCCTGTGCTGATGGGAAGTAAAACAGAGCTGGTTTGTGTACATACTGTTTGGTGGCAGCAGCCAACAGGCTAAATAGCACGTGTGTGCTGACTAGCCTATCTGAACCAGAGGAGTGGCAAACCCCTGCAACTGCTGTTGCTCAGTGGTACTGAGCACAGACTAGGGTTGAGGTACACTTGTTTGGGACAGAGGAGAAGGTTAGGCAGGGGAAACTAAGGGGATGTTGGGCACAAACCAGTAAGAAATGAGATTCTGAGTTGTGGTTTGCTATGCTATTTGTAGATTTCAAACTAGATGTTGAAGAATATCTAGAGTAAAGCTATGTAGGGACTTGGACAGACCTTTGACTTTTTTGTGGATTCTGGAGTCCTATGCTTTAAGATTAAAATACTTCAAGTTGAGTAGGGTTTCTCAGTTTTTGTAGAGAAACTCTAAGCTCTTTCAAAATGTGTGGAATCTTAGGTCTCCTCACATAGATTTAAGAGAGTTGAACCAAGTTTGCGGCAGCTGAAGTAGAAGTTAGAAGTTGCAATTGTAGCAGCTGTGAATCTTCATGATTTGCACGTCCCCTTTAAAAACATTACTAAATGTTCTTACACGTTATTACAGACAGGTTAGTTACAGCAGCTTTCTTTTCATACATCCTTGGTTTCCAGGCTTTATTCACAATTATGTTCTTATTCTCTCATTGCACAGGTAGTGAGCAACAGCAGTTAATGTTCTTCATGGAAATACTTCCTATCAGAGTGGGTTTGGGTGTTGCTAAACCATCTAAGAGATCACGTTGTGTTTTCCACTCATGGTGTTTGTTTGCTTTGTAACTACAACATAGCTTTTCCTTCGGTCTTACAGTGTTCTCTCTTACTGTGCTGCCAAGAGGAGAAAGGCGTTTTGATAGAAGAGCATATTGTCAGCAGCAGATACTAACTTTTCAACATGAAGATGTTTTGAGGCCTTTCTATGAAAAAGTTAATCCGAGGGGGGGAACAAAAAACATGGATTTAAAGGCAGATCACCCTTCTGGAATAACTCAGTGCTGATGAGATCATCTGTCTTTCAAAAATAAGGAAGGCCTTCAGTTTTTCAGCTGCTTGTCACAGGCTCCGGAGAAATGACTTTCGTCCTAAAATGTGACCATCTCTTCACCATAGACTTCTACCATAGCAAGGCCATTCATTGCTCTTTCTAAATTTCTGTCTTTCCTCAAGGTGCAGTTGTAATGCGTCTGTGCTTGGAAGGTCAGATGTTAGTGCTATGCTCATTATTTTGTTCAGCAGTATGTGCTTCAGCTAATATTTATCTAGAATGGCAAGGCTGGTTGTGAATTGTTGATGAGCTGATTAAAAAGAGTAAAAGCACTTTGTACCAGAAGTGCTTTTGTTCTTTTCTGTGTTTCGTGATGGACAAGCTAGGTCTAAAAGTTTCTTAAAGGATCTTTTTAGTATGTATTTTCATTATACGTAAGTGAAAATTTTTTTTTTCCCTTCTTCCATTACTAATCTTATTAGGGATTCTCAGTTTTTCTTGGAACTCATCTGTCAGGAAAATGAACACCGAGAAAGCTAGTCAAGATATTCCAGGCACTTCTGTTAATTCTCATTTTAAAATGTTAATTTTTAAGTTAATTTCAAAAACTGTTAATGAAATAGTTATAAATGACTAAAATTTGCTTTGCTTAGCCAAGAGAGTGAGAACTTTCAAGTTATTAAGATGTTGCCTTTCAATAAATCTCTGCACACCACAGACTTGTAAGATAGGCAGACCATAAAAACTTTTAACCTACAAAGAACAGAAACAAGCAGCAGAAACTTAAACCAAACTAACAGAGCTCTCAGCTTTGCTACATCTGTGACTGGGGCAGAGGGGGTGGGGGAAGGGATGTGAGTTGCTGCCTCTCCCCCCTCTGCTTGGCATTCATCTTGATTAATATAGATCAGTGCACGGAATTCTTTGGGGAGCCATTAACATCCACGTAGAGCCAATTAGAATGTTATATGAATAGAAAATATACATTAAATGACATACGAATTTGACTTGACTTGTACTATATGGGTTATAGAACAAATGAAAAATAAAAAGTCTTTGTTTTTGCCACTGTACATATAATGTCACTATTTTATACCTCATAGCATTGTTATATAATATTTCTGTTCTGATTGGATAGCATTTTTTACTGATCACTTATCTATACTACTATATTATTGCTAAGCACAAGCATTTAGAGTTCTTAAGGGAGGATCCTTCAGACTTATTAAATCTCGACCCTTTTATTTGGATGTTTAAAAAAACTGCACAGAATTAATTTTTAAGTTTAGTATTTACTTGGTTATGTTTTTAAGAACACTTCTAGAAACCTAGAAACTGTTTCTGGTCTTCAGAATTGTAAAGAAAAAGTGCAGCTTTCATGTTAATTCCATACTTTCAGGATTCAGATTTATAAGGTTAGGTATGGGTGTAGGTGGGTTTTTTAGGTGGATGGTGGGCAGGGGCTTTGTTTGTTTGTTTTGGGGGGGAGTGTGGTTTTTTTTTTACATAATATTTATTTATTTGTATTGCAATGAAATGAAAAGGGTTTATCACATCCAAGAACCCAAGGCAGATGTTAAAAGCAGTCTTGTGACAATAATGACTCCAGTGAGCTTGAATATAGAAGGATACTATTTGATGACATCAAAATGTGTCTCCATCTTCATACATTTTTCCAGTTCAACAGCTCAGTTGGAGGTGTTTTGATTATTGTTCTCTCCTTGCTTGCTGCAGCCACTAGGAAGCTTGAGGCTGAATTTTTTTATTAAAAAAATATTGGTAGCGTTTCTTTGTGTGCCTGCAATTGCTTGCTTTTGGATTGAGTCTTTTGTAGCTGGGGTGGGTTTCACTTAGAGCAGAAATGGAAAAGTAAGTGTTACTCTTTGTTTTTTCTAACCAAATGTCTTGAAAATTTCATTTCCTGAACTAGTTCAAAACTATTTGTTGTTTCACAAGATAGAACAAGGGTGTTATCACTTAGTCCTGACACAAAATTGTCTGAGCTAGTCAGAGCACAGGGATGCACTGCAGATCATGACCTGCAATTCTCATTTCTCACTGATTTTAAAGTGTTCCTGTGTTCTTGAGGCTGTCACATCCACACATCCCTAGCAACATGCTCACTCTGCATTTCGCTCCTCCTTCTCCATGTAATCTTAGTCATAGCCTTTGTTCCCAGGTAAAGTCTTTTACTTTACGTTTTTATCTATTTTAAAAGTTGTTCTGCACCTTAAACAATAATATAAATAACAGATCTGTGTTTCTTCTTCCAAGTCCCTTTTGAATTTCAATAACTTCATATTAAAAAGTTGGAAAGAGAATAAACTTCTGAAATACTTATTTACCTTCTGCCACTGCAATAGGAGCTTATCATGTAGAGTACATAAAGGAGCTGAGGGACAGAAAATGCCTTTGTGCATTAACTCAAGTGCCCGTATGTTAACTTAGTAATAATACTCTTTTAGACCTGGGTGTAACTGACTTCTCAGCTGTTATACAGAACAGGAGTACTTAGTTTTGCTTACAGCAGAACTCGGGAGTCTCAGAGTCTCTGCTTTTTTTTTTTTTTTTTTTTTTTTTGGTAGTCCCTCTTTACATTCTCCAAACTCTGAAGAATTATCTATTATGTGGCAGCCTTTCGAGAGAATACACGTTCTTCTCGAGAAGAAGCAAAAGAGATGTGGCGAGCAGAGGGAGGGATGTATCCAGAAGGAGGTGGCTGGAGTGTGGCTTGGGGAACAAAGTGGCATGGCAAAGGTTTTATTGTGGAGGAAGTAGTCAGCCCACGAAGCAACAGGGTCCTTTTTTCTCGGGAGCTATTGAGCAGAGTTACTGCCTCTCAGTGAGGGCCTGAGACAAGAGGTGGTTTTGTCTGGAGAATGGGTGTTTCTGTATTGCCACCAGCAACTTATATTCCGTCTCAGAAGACTTTAATCATTGGTTTTCTGTTGCAGAACTCATGGGACTTCTATTGTTAAAAGTCTAAAACTATGGGATTTAAGATGGAGGTATAACACTCTAGACTGTTAAAAGAGCAGTGGCCTGTGAATGTTCTGAGCAAGCAGTAATGACCTTGCTGTAGACCAGATTAGAAATGCCTGGATTTTTTTTTTTCCTAAAAAAAAAAAAAACGGCTGTTAATCACTGTATATACATTGTGTGTATATATGCACATTCACATATGCGTGTTTTTTTGTTTTGTTTTAGAGTAAAACAGGTTCACAGAAGATAACAAATGAGAAAGAGTTAATCTTAGTGAAACTGGGAAAGATTAGATAGGAAACACTGAGGAGATGATCTGTTTCAAATACTAAATAAGAGTAATGAGCAACCTGGGTGGAGGGAGAGGTTGTAGCTGGACAGTAATATACTTGTATTAAAGTATAGTACTGGTACAGTGCTGGTACATTTATACTATTACAACTTTCCATGCATCCAGGCACTGCACCTGTCATGGGTGGGAGTTGGGGTCTCTGATTATGAGAAGGATGTCAGGAGGGAGAGAGTTCCTTTCTCTCAAATGATCCATGCCTTAAAAAAATGTAACAACCACTGGGCTGAAGTTGTGATTCTTTGCTACGTGATATTTGATAGATGGGGAATAGACAGAGCATCTTGTAGTAGTAAAAGGAGAATATAAAATAGGATTCTTTCTTAATACTGATTTGGTCTGACGGTAGAGGAAGCACTGTTTGCTTGGATGTATGCTCAGCATCTTTGAGGTTCGTGTGTGTTTCATTCCAGCTCTACGTGGCCACTGAAGCCATCCTCATCGCGCTGGTGGGGGCAACTCCTCCCTACCACTGGGATCTCGAAGAGCTCTCGGCTAATCAGAGCCATAGCAACCAGTCAGCGAGTGAGCAGAGAGCCTTTGGGGAATGGCTCCTGACTGCCAATGGCAGCGAGGTTCATAAGCATGTACACTTCAGCAGCAGCTTCACATCAATAGCCTCTGAGGTAAGAGTGATACATGATTCACTACATCATGTGTGAATAATAAATCTCATGGGGTGAGGTGCAGAGGGGCTTGCACTACCACTTCTTTCTTCCATATCAATACATGTTTTGGTTAGCAAATGAAACAGGTGCTGTAGTCCAAGTAGAGAACTGGTAAAATTCATTCATATTCTTACTGGCAACAAAGAGCTAGCTTTGTTTTGCTGTGTAGATCTTGGCCATGTGGTTCTTCTCTGAAACTTCCCACCTTTTCCATGTGGGAGTTGCAAATTGAATGCTGTAGCCTGGTTCCAGAACCGTGCTGGAATTACGACGTTATATTAATGTGTTCAAAATCCTATATGGAGCCTGAGCTCTTTCTGGCCACCTTTTGCCATTCTCTTAAGGTCAGATGCATACAGTGCATCCATCATGCAGTTGGCAAGCAGGGGAGGAAGCAGAGACGAAGTGGCTTTGGCAGTTTCTTTGCAACTCCGGATATGGGGAGCAGCACGGGAGTGGGGAGTTGGATAAACAAATTAACCACCTCCATCCTATCCCAGAGCAAGCTTTATCTTTTGTAAGTGCAGCCTCTGTGTTTTGTAGGTGTCCTTTTTTGAGGTCTAGCCACAGTTTGTAGGGAAATGATTTTAGCTTCTGCCCTGTGATATGTGCAACACCTGCCCTTCTTGGGGCCTTCAGAATCTTTTAATGTTGAATTGTCCTGTGTAAGAGCGTTATCTGAGTGCATATGTTATAAGACCTGGATTAGAGCTATGCAGTTAAGACAAGCGTACTACCATTTGAAAATTGATGGTTATTGTCCATAGGAATTACTGCTATTTGAACTAGTCCTGTAAAGTACTCAAACTTTATTAGTTATGAGCACAGTAATAAAAACTGCCAGTTTTGGAATAGAACCAACAGCTGTGTACAAGAGACACTGATTCTTATTTCTGGTAACAAAGTGAGTGTAAATACTTACACCCACATCGAATTTAAAAGCCTAATGATTTTTTTAAGCATAATTTAAAACTAATTGTCAGTAAGGTTTTAAAATCTTCTCTGGGTTTGAGGGTGTTTATTTTGCTTTTTTTTTTTCCTCCAAGAATCTTATTCTCTCAAACTTAGCAAATTCCAATATGTTTATGGAGCCTAGCAGTGTTTTAGGACATAAATTTTGAAAAATTTCTTATGTGCTTTAGTTGCATAGATATGAAACAGAAGTAAAGAACAAAATTTAATTTTAATTTTTTAAAAAGATCTTAAGTCTTCATCTTGAGCATCTTGTATTTTACGGCACTTCAAAGTAAAATCTACACTTTTCAGTAAAGGCCCATGTCTGTAAAATCCTGTTGCCTTTCCTGTATCACGCTGTTAACATATGCTTTATTCAGAATTCGCTAGTTGAGTGTGTTGTACATTTGGAAGATGTTATGTTGCTAATTACAAACATTTTAGTGTATCTGTTTAAAAACAATCTGGTTTTTTTTTTTTTTTGGAGTATCTGATCAACATCTTATTTCATGACTGATTTGTAGGGAAGGTTTTCTTCCTGCATTAGAGGAGCATATTTTTAAAGCTTGTCTTGTACCATCAATTACTAATAATGTGACCATTGGAAACTTACTCTGAGAAATAATCTGATGTAATAATGCTCGACTCATGAGCCCTTCCGAATTTGTGCAACATGCTTTATGTACACGAGAAAAGCCTTGAGCCCTTTAAATAGCCTCTAGCTGTTGAAAAACTCACGGGATAAATTCTGCTTTACCATAAACAAATTTATCCCTTGCTCTCTGAATAGTGCAGAAAGTATCTAACATCACTGAGTTGCAGTGTTGACAGCCTTCTTTAACATTTATACCAAAAATTAGGGCATGATTCATGTAGCTATTATAAAATAAACTGACCGTGTTGTTTCAAGATAAAATTATTCTCATGATATCCTATTATTGTAGAAATATTTTTTCGTAGAATTGTTTTTTAAATCTAGGGAGGATTCAAAAACTGATCTTTTTGGTCACATGATTAGTTTTGGAAGTGAATTTTGTCAGATTCTTGACGCTTTATGGCCACATTATTCACCATATCAGTAAACACCTCACCATTTAAGAGGCAATTCAAAAGGAAGCATATATGCGGTTAGGCAGGTTGTTTTCTTGGTGCTTCTGAAGGATTTGATTTTGTTAGCTCTCTAATCTCAGTCAGGTTTAGTCACATGGCTATGCTTCTCATGGTGAGATAGTTTATTACTGAGTTTTGAAAGCATATGAGTTTTTGTAGAAAGGATATCTAATGAGGTTTTGATGTGGGGAGGAGAAGATTATGAGGAGGACATTACAGGATGTTGTTGCAGGGAAAATGATATAATCATCCGCTCGCTTGCACAGGAAGAAATATTGGGTGTCACTAAAAAATAACAGCTTTCCGTGAGGAATCTATCCTTGAATTCAGAAGCAAAGGTTGTAGATGATCTGGAGGAATTGTGCAATTGGGTAATACCCACAGTGAGCCTGAAAGATAGCAGTTGTTTCAGTGACTGTTATATTATTGACCAAGTGTAATGCTTAGGAGATTTAGGCAAAGTTTGATATTCTTTAAAGTATGTCAGGCCCTTCCAAGTATTAGCTCTTTGTGAACCTCTAGGACTTTGATTAATGCTCCTTTTATTTCTCCATACAGTGGTTTTTAATTGGCAACACATCATACAAAGTCAGTGCTGCCAGTTCTTTCTTCTTCAGTGGTGTATTTGTTGGAGTAATCTCCTTTGGCCAGCTCTCGGATCGCTTTGGAAGGAAGAAAGTGTATCTCACAGGTAAGCAACACCGCCTAACAAAGTGAATAAAACGTTGGTTTCTTGTCTCCGAAGATCAGTGGCAAGAGCCCAGTTTCTGTAGAGAGCTTCAAACGTAGCACTGAATCATCTGCTGTGATTTATTTGGTTGTTTTTCCAGTATACTTGAGGAACATAAAGGCAAATAATTAATATTTGGCCATTTCAATTCATCTGAATGTCTGGGAGATGTTCTGGATTTAGGAATTGTACCATAAGGTCTTAAACCTTAAAGTTGAGTTCATTTGATGGTTTTCATGCCCATGGGATCTCTGCAAACTGGAGATAATATTTCTACTAACTTATTAGCAATGTTCTTACAAGTATGACTTGTTGTCTGTTGTACCTTTTATTCCTGTCTGCGTGATTTGGGAGCCTCAATCTGTTTTAAAGGACATAAGCTTTATTGGTATCTTCGGACGTAACATTTTCTGGAGCTTCATGTTTTGTGTACGTATTTGTAAAGTTGACTTGTTACTCAGTGGATGAGCATGTGAAAATAAAAAATAAGCAGATAACCTTTTTAAAAAAAAACAAAACTCATTCATTCAGAGCAGATAAAGGTGGGCCTATGTGCAGTGCAAATGCCGTATGTACTATCCCTTTAGATAAAGACAGCATCTCTTTTTTGTAGTTTGGATGGGCTGCTTCCCAAGAATGAGGGGAAATGTTAAGTCATATGTTTAGTCTGTGGCTTCTGTATGGGGATAAACATCAAACCTTCTCAACTGAAGCCATGCAGTAGTTTTGAGGATGTGAAAAAATCTGCCATGAAATGAATCTGGGGGTTTAGGCCTGTGAATCATGTACCAGCAACCATGTGCCATTTTGTGTTCCCCACTTTTATGGCGTAGCCTTGGGGTACTTGCCGAAGGTTTGGACAGAAACGTAAGTAGCGGCGTTTTGTAGGTGTTGAATGTGTTTACTTAGGGCAGATGTCAGTGAACAGCAAGTAAATACACTGATGAATGCTTCTGTTTTTCTTCAGATACTCTTCTGAACTGAAACCTTTTGCCTTGTTTTCCAGGTTTTGCCCTTGACATCCTGTTTGCTATTGCAAATGGATTCTCACCCTCCTATGAATTCTTTGCCATCTCTCGCTTCTTGGTAGGGGTGATGAACGGTGGGATGTCACTGGTGGCCTTTGTTCTACTGAATGAGTGTGTAGGTACTGCCTACTGGGCATTAGCAGGTAAGTTTGAGTGACAGTGTTTTTATTGCCAGAATTTATAGATGTCTGTTGTACACACCACTTGAGACACACCAAAGCTAACATAACATTTGCAAATTTAACTCTGCTCCCCGGAGCACATGCGTGACCACAGTCTTTGAGCCCTGTTTTGTTTAATGTGAACCTTAGACAAGCACAGCAAATGACTTGAGGGCCTTCAGATTTCTGCATCACTCAAATTGACAAATGTACTTCAGTTGAAGCAAATCCACTGCGCATGTTACACAGCTAAATACCCATCAGTGGTTCATGGTAGTTGAGCTCTATCCATCAGAATTTGGGACTCTGCAAAACAGAGCCTAGACAGTGTTTGAATGCGAAATATCAAATTTTTCATTTCCTGGCTGTTCTCAAAAGAAAACAAAAGACTTATATTTGTAAAAGTATTGTGGATCTTTTTTCCACATTCTTGCCACCTCAAAGATCATGAGGCAACTTTTTTTATATGTTCAAAAAATAAAAAAAATCCCATGAGATAATCAACCTTACAACTTGGAATGAAAGGATATAGACACCCTTAGCTGTCCTGGTTGGTAGTGTTGAAGCTGTCCTTCAGATAGGATGCATGTAAGTTGTACCATTGCTGTTCCGGGGCTTGACATATTCAGTTCTTAACAAGTGCCAAGACGTGCTATCTTACAAATCATTAGAGTTACAAATAAATGTTATATGTTCCTAAAAACACCAGTTTTCCAATGATGCCTAGTATTTATTGCATAGAAAGGTGAAACATACCTATGTTTAGAATTAAAAGACCTAACTGTTTATAGGGCTCTGTTGAATGAGGAGGATGTAGAAGGCTGTTTTTTGGACTTGTCTTGATCTTGTAATTTGTCTTTCAATTAAAGGCAATACTTTTGCCTCATACAAGTGAAGAACAGAATGGTCTTTGGTCTGATAGCTATTTTTTTTCCTCTATCACTGAGTGGATTTTTCTTAATGAAATGTTAGTTTCTGTCTGATCCTGTCTGTTGAGAGTTAGCAATGTTACTTAAAGGGATGATAATGGTTCTTTGGGGTTTTGTTTGTTTTTTTCCATCATGTATTAGGATCCATTGGTGGCTTGTTCTTTGCTGTGGGAATTGCCCAGTATGCTTTGTTAGGGTACTTCATTCGTTCCTGGAGGACTCTGGCTGTTGTGGTTAACCTGGAAGGAACAGTAGTCTTTCTCCTCTCTCTGTAAGTTATTTTTGAAACTGGACTTCCTTAAGAAAGATCTCAAAAATGAGAGAAAATGCAACTAGGTCAAGGAGTTTTTCTAGGATGATATGTAGTGGTGTAACTAAAGTATTTCTTTTAGCTTCCACCACACTTTCTGTGCTTTCTTTAAATAGCAGTGCTGTGGTATTTGAAAACGTAAGTATATGTTCTGTTGTATGTACGTTATTACTGTAGAACGATCTGCAGCGTGATGTAGAAGAACCACCTAATCTTCAGGTGGCCTGTGTAAATGCTCCAAACTGTTGTCTAGTATATATCTGCAACAGCACATTACAGATGCATGTCGAATGATACAGAAGCATTTCTGTGATTGTGTGGTAACATGATGTTTCTCTAGTAACTTCTTGTTTACTTACACAGACAGAACGGCATCAAAGTTACGCATACAGTCTTAAAGGTGACATGCAAAAGGAAAAATGGGCAGCTTCCTTTACTTTCTTTTATTTTCCAAATTTGATGATTAGGAAAGAATAGGAAGAAGGTTTCTTTATGTAGATAATGGGGTTTTTGTGTTTGTGGGCTTCAGCACTGAAAGCCATGTGATGTGTTCTTCCTTTCTCATAGGCTTCCAGATAAAACCTTCTGACAGCAAAAACTGAGTAATTGAGAGAAGAAAGGAATTTTAGTCAGTGTTTAAGCTTAAGGCTTTTTTCCTTCCAACATCTATTTAACTTCAGTAACTTTCTGAACGGAGTTCTTTGTTTAAAAAATCAACATACCCTTTCAAATGAAGCATCAAGACTGGTATTTGCCAGGGAGATCTTAGAACTTGGTGAAAGCAGACTTGACGTTTCTGAAATTTCAGAACTTGAAACAGTAGTGTTTGGGGATAGAAAAAAAAACCCACTCTTTAAAAAGACCCTAAACTTTCAGATCATGATATGTAAATTTTTGTTTGAGATGCTTTATGCTCAGGACTTCAAAGCTGTGCTCAGAGGCCCATCTTACTGTAAATAAGGATTTTTGATTTCAGATTTCACACTGCCCTCCCTCTCCACATGACTTAAAAGTTACTTTGTGGAGAAAATATTACTGATATCTTTTTTTAATTTTTTTTTCCTGTCATAGGGAAGAAAAGATGTTCCTTTCTAAACCTTTTTTTTTTTCTAAAAGCACAGAATCACTTTTCTTTAGGGGAAGAATGCCACTTCTGGGCAGAGACAAAAATCTTAGCTTCTGGCAAAAGGCTGAAGTTTAAGTTGGTTCTGGGAATCTAAAAAAATAGAGAAAGATTTGTTTTATAGGCAGTGTTGGAGGTATAGACCTATCGAGTGAACTTTGCACATGGGAACAAGAGCGTGGCGTTTGTGCAGCTGCTGCCTTGCTGTCTGTGGGAGGGAACTCAGGACAGTATTGGAAGGTGAGGAAGATAAGACAGCTAGTTGTCTTGTTGTTGCTGATGTTACTAAAAGTAACCACAGGATGTTTTTGTATTAGTGTTTAGAATTAGTATTTAGAATTCCCTTAAGACAGAGTCCTAATAGTGTTGTAATTTGTGGTATTGCAATATCTAGCTAAATAAATAATTTATATAAAAACTTAGATACCAAGAAATTGAAGGCTTACATTCCCTCTCTCTCCTTGCAGCACGCTTTGTCTGTATTTTAATAAGTGAGTCCTATACCTGAAGTGCTGTTTAAAAAATACTATTATACTGAAACACATTTCAGCCTTATTTCCATATGCAAGTCCAGCCTTGAAGAAGAGAAGGGCCCTGAAGCTCTCTGCAGTGTGTGCGTGTGTGTGTTTCAGATTCATTCCAGAGTCTCCCCGCTGGCTATATTCACAAGGTCGACTGAGTGAAGCGGAAGATGCCCTCTACCTCATTGCGAAGAGGAACCGCAAGCAGAAGTGCACTTTTTCATTAAAACTTCCAGCAGAGAGGAGCCCCAGAGAAGCCGGCAGTTTCTTGGACCTGTTTCGATACAGGATTCTCTTGGGACGCACTTTGATCATGATGTTCATCTGGTACTTGAAATACTTTGTAGGCCCAGTTGTGATACTTTTGCTTCTTAAAGTCTTTGAGAGTGTTGCTGAGAATCAGCTCATCCTGCATGTCATCCTTACAATCTCAATCTTTATTAGGGACGCTGTGCATAAAAAGAATCTTTGTTTTATAACCATTCCTTAGTGCATTTCTAACCTGAAGGCATTTTTACAATATAGTCCTGAGGTACTTTATCTTTGTATTTCTGCCATGCTTTTTCAAGCTTCAAAATAGTTGAGAACTGCCTCTTCTTCTGTGACCCTCAAAGGCTGCTGAGATTAGTCATGCTGTCCTGGTCTTTGGCCCAAAGTTATGCGTTAATGCTTTCAGTCACCTGGATTTCTCATTCAATTATGTATGTAAGGAGCACATTAGCAGGTGGGTGGCTTACATCATCTAATGAACCTGTACCTTTTTTTAAAGGAAAGTGCTACCAAGTGTTGCCATAGTATGCAGGAGGGCTGCATAATGCTACCTAAACTCATTATCAAAAATATAACTCTCCAAAAGCGTCCGCTTTGTTTAGGGTAACTCTGCTAACCCCGAGCTCTTTTGCTGCCATTTTGAAATAAGCCTAATGGATAACATGGACTGCAAGTTCTCTGACAGTGCTGTTCATATAGTTGCTTTTTTAACCCTTATATTTGGGAAAGAGGTATTCATAAAGAAAAAAAGAAAGGGAATTATTTTGTCAAGAGACAACATAGAGCTACATTTCTGTTGTTGTTGCAAATGCTTAGTGCAGAACAGATGATTTTTATTATTCCTTAAATAAGAATTCAAGGATCAGCTTGCTGATTTACCGCAGAATGAATTAGTGACCTGTTTCTTGCTTCTCTGTTTAGAATAGACAGCCGGTCAGAGTAACAGAAGAAATGAAAATCAGAGTTGGAGAATTAATAAAAACTGGGCCGGAGTATAGAAGTTAAAGGAAGGCAGAAGTCATCTAACATATTTGAAAAAGGCGTTACGCACAGTTGGACGAAAATGGGCAAAAGTGAAACCCAGTAAAACAAATGACAAAGATGGAATTTCTCAAGTCAAACCATGTACTCATGATCATATTATAACTTCATTTTGGTTTATGTACATACATCTTAAGTGTAATCTTAGGTTTAACTGAGTAAGAAGTCAGGAATTGGCTCTATGTAGAGACAAATGGTTTCTTTCCATGGAAAGCATTGCACGCGTGTGTAGAAACTTTTTTAGACTCATCTTCTGAAATACTAAATATAGTTTAAACTGTATCGTTCCAGACCAGTGCCCTAATTTGGCAGGCAAAGCTGCTGCTCTGGCTTTACTTCTTTTTTTCCCATCTCTTACAGGTTTGTGTGCAGCTTGGTTTACTATGGTCTTACCCTTAATGCGGGTGACTTAGGTGGAAGTATTTATGCCAATTTAGCCCTTTCAGGGTTGATAGAAATCCCAGCATACCCAATCTGTATTTACTTGATTAACCAAAAATGGTAAGTATACAATTTCATTAACCCTTTCAGAATGAGTTTTCTTTTGCTCCCATTTTTCCCCCAAGATAGGTTTCCTGCGTATTGCATCTCCTAGCTTATGTCCATTGTTTGGGGCTTCCTGCTTTAGTGTTACTAGTTCGTTATGCCCTCCTGGGGAAATACATTTTATGTGAAAGTGCCAGTTACGGATCCTTATATCAAATAATAACAGTTTATCTTGTTCTAAATAGTTCATTTATCATTAGCTAATTGTCTAATTTTGGCTCAAAGATGAGGCTCATTCTCCTGAATGAGTTGCATGTAGCCGTGCTGCCTCCATGCTAACACAAGATGGCATTCTTCCCACCTCTGTCTTGTAATCCCTAGTCTCATTGTTAAGTCAAAGCTATTGCAGCTAAACTCAACTGGAACTGCTGTGTGATATCCTGTAATAGCTGCTATGTGCTCTGGTAGGTGAGCAGAACTGTTTTCTCAGATATTTAGCCTTTTCTTGAGCTGTGGAACTCTTGTCTTATTTTAATAAAATTCACTTCCCAGTCTCTTCTCTACATGTTCCCTGATCAGTTTTACACACGTGCACAGACAGTGGAAAGCAAACCAAAATTCTAGGAATTGTCAGCCACTGCATGAACCTTTCATAGTGCTGATTTTATGAAGAGAGGAATAGAAGTTTATTTTAAAAATTGTGGGAGAAAGGAAGCGTTTGTGGGAGATGGCATTTGGCACTTTCCAACTGCAAATAACAAGACTATATGTCTTTTGAGTGCCTGTTGCTCTGCAATCTGCAGATTCAATGTAGAATAAAACTTTCAGGTATTTGTTATCCTTTTTTGCTCATCAGGTTTGGTCGAAAGCGAACTTTGAGTGCATTTCTGTTCCTGGGAGGACTGGCTTGTCTTATTGTCATGTTTCTTCCTGAAAAGAAAGGTAAATGTTTCCTTTTGTTACTTGGTAAGAAGTTGGCACTTGGTAAGAAGTTGTAAACGTATCATCCTATAGCCTGAGAGTTTGTTGGTTGGCTTATGGCACATGAGCGGTTCCGTTTTGAAGGCAGATAAGCTAAGACGTAGAAAGAATAAGCAGCCTTCCTAAAACCTTACAGAAAGCTGTCGAAAAGCTTTCGACATGTGCTCTTGTCTTTGGATTCTTTCCTATAGTTTGATCAAAGCAGTCACTCCTTTTCTTTCTGACTTAATCCCAAAGAGTGATGTTGCTTGGGATATGTCTCTTTAGCCAAATGATCTGTGTCAACAGCACCCATGCAATTGCATGTATATCTCTAGGTGAAAGTCCAATGTCAAAAGATCCAAAGAGCTGAATCTTTGGGCAGGTTTCCCTGTTTTTCTCACTGCTCTCTAAGGTTCAAGTGTATGATTATGTTTTTAGTAATGTGGCTACATCAGTTAGTTCAGAGAGCGTTTTGGGAATCTTCTGAACCAAGGGGTCTTTAAAACATTTCCCCCCCCCCCTCAGGACACGTTAATGTTCATTTCTTGTTTTTCAGATGTTTAAAATTATAGAAACACTGTACATATTTTATATGTACAGTGAACACTTTTCTTTTGAAAGCAAAGCACATAAATTAATCACAGTTTGTAATATTTGAACATGTGTAACACCTGTCAAAGGAATGAAGATGCTTTAAACATCTTTTGAAAGCAGCATGATTCAAAAAGATTGAACATTTATGTGGGTAATGAGAATATGCGTAAGTAACATTCATTACCATCTAGAGTGATAGGCAAAACTTTTTTACATGGATGCAACTCAAATTTCCTAAAGCCTTCCAGATGCTAGAGCCCAGACGCTCAGAGATTTTCCTGTTAGACCTAGCGCCAGTCATTGAGTAGTTTAGCATCTCAATCCAAGCTCTCTTTACAACACATAGAAAGAAAGGGATCTTCAGAGGATAGAACTAACTGCCTGACCCTAAGAAACCAGCTGTGTGTAGAACTGCCAAAGTTGGCCTGTAGCGAAGTGCCTTAAGAAACAAAGCAGCTAACAGGCTGGAAGCAAGCGCCTGTCTCTCTGCTAAGCAGTAACAGATTATTCTGTAATCTTCCTTGGTAGGCAGGAAGCATGTCTTCTGATTTATTTAGCGTAAGCTAGCGAGCGTTGGCCATCCTGACAAAACTCTGAGCTGGATGGAATATTTGGTATGGTTCTGTATGGCATCTTCCTATCTTTTGTTTTTCTTCCTAAGTAGTAAAATTAGAAAGCACATTATCGAAGTGTGGAAGTGACACTGAACAAGGCTTTGATCACGAAGAAACTTGGTTGCTTTTGTAAAATATAACCATTTGTTTTTTCTTCAGTTTGCCAGCACAGCTAGTTTAGTATTTTTCTAGCAGTAATCTCAAAATGTTGGGTTTTAGTTTCAGCTTTTGGTAAGTTTATAGAATTTTTTTGTATCTTACATTTCTAAAATTGCTATTATAGTAGAGTCTTATGCAGGATTTTAACATGTAAAAATTAAATGTCACCAATTGTCACACTGAGAAGAAGGAAAGCAAAAGTAAATTTCTTGGGTTTTTTTTTTTTTTGTCTTGTACACTAGTTCAGTACTGTAATCTTTGGGTCTGTACAATCATTTAATCCAGACCTTTTCTATTGGATCATATTTAATGAAATGCAGACAGTTTTGGGCTAGTGACACACACGTCTGCCATGAATTTGAAAGGTACTTCTTCACTTACATTTCACAGTGTGTTTTATGGAGAATTTTCTTTATACAAATCTGATTGCATGCATAAAGAAAATACATCCCTAGACATAGAATATAAACTCTGCTGGGCAACTTCTGATGTTGCTGTCTAAGGCAAAGAAGCCTCTTTGGATTTTCTTGAGTTCTGAGAGTTCTCCTAAAGATACAGATCATCTCTGACAAATACTATTTGTAATAGAAAAATGCTTGGCTGTCATAGCAAACTCTTCAGTAGATTCTTTTTCACTCTATATTGTTGTGTGATTGACGTGCATACTGAGACATATTTCTGTATGATCCTTACAAGGGTCACATTTTCTCTATCAGGCACAGGAGTGTTCGCAGTGAATAGTCGCTCTCTCTCTTTGCTGGGGAAACTGACAATCAGTGCTGCATTTAACATTGTTTACATCTACACGTCGGAACTTTATCCCACAGTGATCAGGTAATGCAAGTTAAGGTCTTTTCATGTTTCTGGTTCCTCTATGTGATCACCTTTTACTTGTCTGTCTTTGTTTGTTTGTTTTTTCCTATTAACTACAACTTCTCATTTGAGACTTTCACTTATGTAAGGTTCTACAGATAACCAAAGCAGCTTAGTAAATATAATGATTATCTTCTCACTTCTTATACCTCCCTAAAATTTGCATTGTGCTTATCAGAATAATTATATTCTATATAAAACAGTAAAATAATCCCTTGGTGTGGCTGGTATGCTCACAGCCCTCTCCCCACTAATGAGGATAACAACAGTGGTGTTGATATTACTTTTTCATGAGTAACATCTCTAACTTTCTCAATGCTTTATAAGCCATACAACCCTCTTAAACATTCATGCTCATTTAACCAGCAACATTGAAGATGACCAGTCAATAAGCTTTGTAAAAATAACTTGATTCTTCATAGGTGCATGTGAGCAAGGGAGTAAGGATTCATTTGGTAGAGGCAGAACTACTGCACTGCATATGCTTGCAGTGACAGAGTAGACAAAAGCATTTGTTATACTGGTGCAATTTTTCCTAGATATTTTTCCCAGGTATGACCACCGATGACCACCAATGAAGGTGTATTATTGTGTGTTTCATGGGTGAGCATATCCACTGATAAATATGGGGGGTAAGGGAATTGATCTTTCCTTTCAGGAAAGGATGAGAGGCTTTGATTGGAATCGTGTTGTTTGTCTCTTTATGTGTGTACATATGCTAGAAGTCTGGATGTGCCTGGGACTTGTGCTTCTATTTAAGCACAGAGCATAGGCATTATTCCTGTCTTGGGATGCTTTCAGTTGCGTTTCGTTTCTTTCCTTTGCCAGTTAAAGTGGTCAGAGTCATGACTGATGTTTTTCTTGTTGATAGAACTTTTTTTTTCTTTTTTCAGTCCTAATTCCTCCTACGCAAATGCCATTGATTAATGGTTGTCATTTTCTTCTTAGGAACGTTGGAATGGGTGCCTGCTCCATGTTTTCCCGTGTTGGTGGAATCATTGCTCCTTTCGTCCCTTCATTGGTTTGTCTGAACTTTTCACTGCTTTATTTATATATTTTTTTTTTCTGTGGCTCTGATGTATCAGAGACTTGCAGAGATGGGGGTATTTGGATAAGCTATGTATTTAATCTAAGATCTATGACTTGACAGTATTGTGGTAGGCCAAAGGCATTGAGGTGTAATCTGTGTAATTAAAGAAAATTCCCATCATTTAGTTCAGAAGATGTTTTAGCCCTATAAGAATTTTGGGACTTAGCCTTGGTACTTCGAAGGTATTGTCATTTCAAGATACCAAGATGGTGATTCCAAATTTAAACCCTAAGTGAGCAGCAGCAAAATAAAACGCTTAAGCAGTTAAAAAACTTGCTGCATCAGATGATAGAGCACAAAAGTTCATTAACTGATCTTTCTGAGAAGAAAGGATCAGCTTCTACTAGTTTTACTGTCACTATACTGCATTGACTGCCTGTGGATTATCATTATCAGCACAGCATTATATCTTTGAATGAATGAATGAATGAAGATATTACTTTGGAGACCTGAGATACTCGCAAGGCTACTGAGCACAAACTTCACAGCAGCCTTTCAAGGCAAAGAATCAAACATGAAGATGAAGCAAAACTGTAAAATTATTTCCCTTTTATAGGGATATGTGTATGCAGGTAAAATAAAGGGCCCGTTTCAAACTGCTTATGCAAACCAGGTGAGAATTCCTTGAACACGACAGAGATTTTATCTGGAATAACTTTCTTCTGTACTATCTTCCATTTTATTACTGCAGGCAGAGGTCCAGCAAGAGAGCGGGCAAGCATATTGGGCTTTTTGATCTGTAGACTGAAAGATGGGTTAGGTGAGAGCACTTCCCAGGCTACTCCAGGCAAAGTCAAGGCTGGTACAGATCTGTCTGGGAGACTTAATAGGCTGCTTTTATGCAGCAGTCCGGAGTACATCGCATTGTATCTAGTGGGGATTTGGCACTGCAGGAGACCCGAATCATTAACCTTGGAGCATCATGTTTAAGGGGGTCCCATGAAAATGAAATAACTCTAGTTTAAAAAAAAAAAAACTATTTGAGGAAAAAAATAGATAGTTCTGTGTTTTAGATTTTCTTCAACAATTTCAATGTATTTTCAGTTACTTTTGTCTGAGGACCTTACAAAAAAGGTGGAAATGGAAAAAGTTAATCTCTGATGTAAGAGATTAAATGTTACGTTTATATTTGATCACTGCCCATTATTGTTTTCTTTATTCAGAATTGCTTTTTGTTATACAAAATAAGTTTTTTGTTTTGAGGTTTTTTTGAACAAAGAAACAGTTAAACGCTTGGATTTCTGAAATGAGCCTACTTTACTGTTGTCTGAAAGTAAAAATACAAGTTTTGGGCCTATATTGTAGTTTATTTATATTTTTGCATGCACCTTTTCCGGTTGTACTTTTGCTTGTAACAGGACATGAAAACAAGGACAGGCATCAAAGGAAGGGTATAACAGTTCTCAGGGATGATAGGAAGGCCAAAGCTCGGTTGAAGCTAAAACTAGCAAGGAGCATAAATGTTAATAAATAGGGATTCCAAGTACACTAGCAGCCGAAGGAAACCTAGAGAAAATGTTGAGTTCAATGTTGAATGTGGTAGACGAGCTATTGCTGGATAAGATGACATAAGCTGAAATATTCAACATTTTTGCTTCAGTCTTCACAGGCAGAACCTGACCCCAAACCTCCATGCATACTAGCACAGTTCAGTAAGGAGAAGACCAGCTAACAGTGGAGGATCAACAGGTTAAGGACTACTTACAGAAGGTGAAAGTATTCCAGTCCATGGAACTGGATAGGATTTCCCAACAGATAGTAAAAGAGCTGGCTGTGACTGTGAGGCTACTGTCTATAATCAGTGAAAAATCATTGTTGTTGAAGATGGTCTCTGATAACTGGAGAAAAAGCTAATGCTATAGGTACCTTAAGAAGGGTCAGAAGGCGGATCCAGGGAGTTACAGGCTGATCAGCTCAAACTCTGTCCGTGGAAAGATCGTAGGAGATGACCTCTCAGAGTTCATTTCCAAGCATGTGAAAGCTGAGAAGGTAATTGGGAACAGCCAGCATGAATTTACCAAGGACAGTTCATGCTCAACCACCTTGATAGCCAGACATTTCATCACAGAAAGCAATGTGGATGAAGAGAAAGCAGAGAGTGGGGAAGCCTTTTGTAAGGCTTTAGATGCTGTGTCGCACAACATTCTTGTTTGGAAGCTGATGAAGTGTGGGCTGGATGAAAGGAGTAGTAGGTGGATCTGAACATTGTATGCATCACCAGGCTCAAAAGAGTAGTAATAAAGTCTCGGTGTTTCATTGGTGGCTGGTAACAAGTGGATAATGAGACCGAATGCATGCTCTGCATGTCTGCAGATGTTAGAAAATAAGGGAGAGTGATTGACACCTCTTGATAGTAGAGCTTCAGTAATGAGGGACCTTCTGGGCCAACAGAAACCCCATGAAGGTGAACAAGCAGAAGTACAGAATTCTGCTTCTGGTGTGGAATAATCCCATAGTCAATACAGACTGGCAACCAACTGGCTGAGTAGCGGCCAGGCTGAAAAGAACCTGGGGGGGGCTATGATGGATGTCAAGCCAAATGTGAGCCAGCAATGTCCTCCCATTACAAATAAGCAAACTTCACACTGAGCTACGTCAGGAGGTACATGGCCCGCAGATGAAGTTCCTTCCCAGTTGTACAGGGATGCGGAAAGACTGGGGAGGGTCCAGTGGAGGGGCAACCAAGATGGTTGTGGACCTAGAGCACAGGACTTAAAGAGGAGAGCTTGAGCAAGCTGCGTTCATTTGATCCAAGACAATTGGATTGCTGTCCTTTTCGGCAGCAGCAAACGGTTCTACAAGGATTAATGGCCACAAGTGGTGGCTTGAGGGTTACAGATTGGAAATTCGGAATCCCCTCACCAGAGGCTTAGTGCAGCCCTGGAGCAGTTCACTTGGAGAGCAGGCATCTCCATCCTCGGAGATTTTTCAGTATTTGCCTACACAAGCTATAGTTGACCTGGTCTAGTGTTGTCTGTGGGCCTGCTCGGAGCAGGAGGTTGGCCTAGCTGACCTCCAGAGATCCCTTCCAACCAGCATGGCTATGATTCTGTATTCTCGCTCCCTTCTTTACAGGCAAAGTGATGTTGTATTTGCTGACAAAAACATACATTTTTTTTAAACAAGAATCGAGAGTATAAATTTAGCAGGCATTTCTTTTAAAATCCATCTCAAAATCTATGTGGCTCTAAAGTACCAATACGATAAAACAGATAAGATTGGTAAGAAACAGTAAAATAAGTAGTAAGCTGTATGATAAAAATGAACACACAGGTTTCAAGAATGTAAGAATTTATAACACTAATTTATGAAGCTCCTGAAATATTTTTTTCATCACAGTTGCCTGATGGTTATAGAGGTTAGGTGCTTGAGTCGGCGCTATGAACTGCAAGGAACCAACCTCTATTTAACTATCTCTGCTCTTTTTTCCAGAAATCTGTACAGTGGTCTCTTCCATACATCGTGTTTGGAGTGACTGGTCTTTTGTCTGGGCTTTTAAGTTTATTGCTGCCAGAGACATTAAACAGCCCTTTGCTAGAAACAATTTCAGACCTGCAGGTATGCTCGTACTGGAGACTGGGTGATGAAGCCATGTCATTGCAAGCACTGGATGGCTCACAGGTAAATTCATTTTCTTCCTTGTACTTCTCCAACGTGTTTATTTCAGCTGTCAGCATGTATATGCCGCTCTAACTAGATTAGGACAGTGATTTTTGGCCTGTGGATGATTGGCCCCAAGGAGATACAGAAGATTGCTTAGTAATCTTACCCTCACATCTGAAATGTTTTCTGGAAATGCAGGCTGAAACATAGCTGGGTCAATTCATCCCTTCAAGGCCAAAAGCTTACAATCCTTTCTCCTTTGAAAAAAGGACTCAGTGATATGAGTGCATCTTTCATCTCTAGGCTGGATTGCTGCAGCATGCTTCATGCAAAGCTGACCACTGAAGTTTCTGAGAAGTCTTAGATGTTAAAAAAAGACAGAAGCCTCTTTGTGAAGGACTGTTATTAAAGGCAGCATGCTGTATTTCTACTGATCTGCCCTGGTGGTTCTGCAATAGCAGTTGTTAGGTCTATCCTGGAGAGTCTTTAAATAGGTTATAGCTAGATTAACCTCTGAGATCTGTCCCATTACTGAATCTGGGAAATAAGATTAGTTGAAAATGCTGCAACTATAAAAACCCCCAGACATAAGCGTAAAGAAATATGGAAACAGGATGTTTTTCAGTAAGGTGTGCTTGAGTGTTGGATTCTCACATGACTTTATTCCTCATTTTGTCAAACTCCTGGACACCTCTTGAGGCGTGTACGTTCTTCCAGGTCTGTGGCGTTTTTTCATTATTGCTGTTTTGTGAATAAAGTAGGATTAGAAGAAAGTAGCTATAGAATTGGAAGTGAGTGTTTAAATTTCAGTAAGGACTCGATGTTAAATCCTGGTTCCTAAATTCGAAGTATCAAAGGATTGATAAAGATTGAATAAGTGGTCAGAACACTTGAAGGGCAAGTCTTACCAAATCAAATGTTGCCGGTCCCATTAGACTGAGATGAGGGAGGATCCCTGTAATACCTCTCACTTTTGTTTCTGGTGAAGAAGTCTGAGATTCGCAAGCAGTCATAGATGTATTTTCACAGAAATCAGAAGCAGAGTAAAATTTATTTCTAGAATCAGAGCAGTTGTTTCCTTTCAAAGGCTTCAACATGTTGCCTTGTTTACCAAGTTTAGCTGTAATAATTCTTGACAGGGCAGCACAGTTTAGTGACAAAAGCTCCTGTTAGGAAAGCCTGAAAGAGGCAGCCCTGTAACCATTGATTTTGTACTTTATCTACTTTACACGCACATTTTATAAGCACTTTTAACCATACTGCATAATGTGTTATGGCACCGCGTTCTTGCTGGCTACAGAAATCCATCATATACACTTACATCAAGTTTATACCAGCTGTTATTTCCATGATTACATCATTATTGCAACTTAACCTTGCAGATGGCTTACTAACCAGAAACAATTCTAGCAAACAGCACAGATGTTTTAACTGAGAGGGGGAAAAAAATCACTTTTTTTTTTTTCTTTCTAACCAAATAAGGTCAGTACAGCCCTTTGGGGTGACCAGTATTGTCTGCCTATCAGTATTCACACAACTCAGTTTACTTATGTCAAGCAGTCTTCTCAGGTTTAAATCTTCCCTGCTCTAATTTCTGCAGGCTTTTTAAAAATCCCAGCCTCAACAAGATCCCCAAAAGAAACAAAAAATTGAGGATGCTCTTCAGGAGCTTTTTTCCCTAGGTGTATTCAAATGATTGAATCCGAATGAAGCAAAAAGAGCCAGTTTTGGGCCTGGAGTTATACTGTAACTTCAATGAAATTGCATCATCTGGAATGTCTGTGACACATAGGGATTTATTTTAAATCTACCAAAAGAGAAAGCATTGAGAAAATGGAAAGCTGTTAAACATTAACCCTATTTGACAAGGCCGTGGAGAGGTCTTGTGGAGCTGGCATACGAAAGTTGTAGAATTTATTTGGCATACCCTGAATTCCCCCTGTGGAATCCATTGTCCTTTTGTACCACCTTCAGGATAACATGCATTCTGGCTGCCCAGAATAGGGGGTTTTGTCCCTGTTAACATGAGAGTGTGATGTTCAAATTGGACAGCATCCAGTGATAGCCTGACTTGCCTCAAATAATTTTAGAAATCCAGAAAAAAAGCATAACATGATTCCCTTTATATCTTCTGACAGTTCTTAGGCCTCAAACTGTTTGAAATTTCTTTGCAGTTAACACACATTGCTGTAGCAAAACTCCTCTGAAGACAGATCTAAAGCTACAGATTTTGCTTGCATAGTTCTGTATTTCAGGAGGCAGGCAGAAGTCTTAAGGTGGATGCAAGCATACTGGAAAAAAAATCCTAAAACTAGGTGCAGTTCATATTAGTCAATGGAAAGATGCTACATTGGCCACAAGAAATCATTTAGCTGCAATAGCTGGATTTTGATTATGTATACGGTATAAATTATATTGTCAAAAGGACTCTGGCTGAGGTTAAATATGCCTATATTAGAGAGCTGCTGTCTGAACATACAAACTGGTAATGTTTCTTCCCTTTCTATAACACCTTTAGCTAGTATTGCAGGGGGATCTTTTTAAATAAACCTTGCAGTGGAAAATGTCCATGCTAAACATGGAGAAACAATTTTGGATGGAAAAGCTTTCACCTAATCAAGTAACCTGTGTGTTCCGAGCATCAATTTCCAGCAGGATACCAGGGAATAGGGACCTCAGAGTTACATTGGTAAAAGTCAGAAATCTGAGTAAGCTGCTGCTTCAAAACCATTCTAGCCAGTTTCTCTCCTGCATGTGTTTTCCCTCGTGTACTGATGAAGGGAGCAGAGAGAGAGTCCATCCAGTAGAAGCCAGTCTGTTTTCAAGAGATTTTGAAGAAGCAAGGGAGACACAAAATTTTGAGATTCACATAAAAGTGTCTTCTTTTTATAAAGTTTTGCTAAAGTGATTTGGCCTATCTTTCTGTTTTCTTTTTTCAGCATTCCAGCAGAAGTATAATGTTTCATGCTTGCATATTGTCTTGAGATTCATTTGTTGACTTCTCTGTTAACCAATGACTTCATTTTCCTTCTTAGTCTGGAGACAAAGATAGTTTTGCCAGCAGTGGAAGTGAAGATGAGGAGTTTTACGATGCTGATGAAGAAACCCATATGATGAAATAATGAAAAGAAGAAATGCTGATCTACTTTATGCCTTTTCTTACTTGTCCAGTCAGTGCACCTGTAAGACAAGAGAGAACTGGGGACCACCTGTCAGGGGACATAATTGGACAAGTGCCTGTGTCTTTCCTGCACTAGCAAAGGGCTTTGAGTACTGTTCAGGTTCATTACATCACTGGTAGTCTTCATATGTGCCAGCCGTTCAAATTCTTGTAGTTCAGAATGACAATACACAGACTACGTTTGAAGCCAGGTGAGATAGCAAGGGAGGGATAATGTATTTCTGAAACTTAGGAAATTATCTGCCATTTGGACAGGTCATCAGTGCACATGCTTGCATCTTCTTTTCAAGGTGGTTTATTTTGAGTCAGCATAAAACGATAAACTTGAAAACATTCATTTTTTTTCAATAGAATGAAATTGGTCACAGAATGTGCTGTGCACTACTCTAGTGGGAACAAATTCCTGAAACTGTATGTTAAAATGTCTTCAGCATGTTGGGCAGGGGAGGGGCAAACTGTGAACATATGGTATCTCCTTTTGCACTTGAACATGTGTCTAGAGTTACAGGGTGCAGCTGGTTAGTCGTGAGCTGTGCACAGACTTAGTAATGCTGGGAGGAGGGGCTACTGGAAAGACCAACCATAACATTTGCAGCATTCCAAGCATTTCCTTTTTGGTTGTCTTATGTGCGGGTTTGCTATGTGTTCCCACATCTCGAATTCCTGTTGCATAGCTTTGCCTACTTTAACCTTGCCCTTGCTTTGTCGTGAATGTTGAAGCACAGCAGCTTCTCTGTTTTTGCGGTATAATAAATCTCTTGGAGGAAATAATTTCATAAGTTGAACACAAGTGAGGTATTTATCATGTCCTATATAATGAGGTGTGTGTTAGAGTATATACCTCATGTTTCTGTGGACCATCTGTGTCTTTATTTCCGGAAGAAACTTGACTCTGAAGTGGTAGGAAGAACTGTAGGTTGCTGCTATGTTTTGAGGGTGATTGCCAGGAACGTTGCTACTATTTATTTTAAATTGTTGCGTGTAGATAGAGTTCTTAGAAAACTGTTTGAGCCAGTATTTACTTAGTTACTTGAGCTTGCTGAGGAAGAGAACTTCATTCTCCTGTTCACACTGAACTTCTTATAAATACTTAATTAGAGGGATGTGGAATCTTGCAATATGTAACATGAACATATGAAAGGTTGCTAACTACAAAGATGAGGCCTTCTTATAAGGATTAAGTTTTCTTGGTTACAGTTGTCTTCATCCTTTAACCTATGCTATTTATTAGGGTTGGTTTCCATAAAGTGCTTGTAGTTTGTTATACTTGGAGTTCCCAGTAAAATGGTACAAAGTGTTTGCAAGTACATTGTCAGAGTTGCTAGCCATTTTGTGGATGTTAGCTTAAAACTGAATTTAAAAAAAAAAAAAAACACCCAGAAAGAAGCCACATCTGCTGAATTTATTCCAGTTAAATGGGGAAGCTCATTTACTCTGAAAGGCAATGAGAGTAAACAATATTTGAAGTTTACAGCAAGCTGCCTGAACTTTGTTCACTTGGAACCTGTAACATAGAGCAAAGTACACCTACCCTGGTTAGTGCAGAGAGTAGCCTAGAGACTTTACATTCTAGCGTACAGTACTCCTGCTTGACTGAACTTGATGCAGGCATTGGATGTGAGTGAAGTAGGGAACTTCAGTCCCTGTAGACAATGTATTAGTTCCAGTGATGGTGACTTCTGTTACATTACCGTTATAGGAGTCATTAGAATTCCAGCCTGTAGTCTTCACCTTGTTTTTTTCTGTTTGTATAGCTCTCATGGAGGTGATAGGACACTCTTAAACCCTGCTGGATATTCTTTCTGCCTTATTTGGCCCTCTTGTATGTAAGAAAATTGCTACAGCTAAGAAATAAGAAGTACCTGGCAATACTTGGAAAGTTTGATTCCGTTTGAAAGATTTTTTTTTTCTATTTTTTTTGGGGGGGGAGAAGGTTGTTTGGGTTTTTTGTTATTTGTTTGTTTTTATTTCACATTTCACATTATGGACAGCCAGAAAAGTAACTTTTAATTTTCTTTTTGTAGTTGATGGTTTCTAAATATATGAAACCAGCTTGCTTAGAAGGAAGCAATGGTAAGCCTAGAAGTATTAGCATGCTGCCATAACCTCGAGTTTCTTAGAGCGTTACTGCCTCTGTCCCGCTTTGGGCGGTAGCTAGAGTGAGCCTTCCTAGCTCCACAGTTTTATTGTCATTCACTGATACTGGCAGCACTGGTCGTGCCAAGGGATACTTCAATGTAGTTTTCATTACAACAGTAGGATGTAACAGTTCAGGTCAGATCATTTTGCAGGACCTGAGTTAGATTTTGTGACAGTCCTCAATTTATAGTGAAACTCCTCTCTCCACTCATGCATCTTTATCTTATAAATTATATATGTAAAATTGCAAAAGCACGCGTGAAGAAAACATCTGCAATTTTTTTCCATGACAGTTACTGCACTTTTTTTTTTAAACCTTTATTTAAGGTTTTGTTTTATTTTATTTATTAAAGCTTTATCTGTCCCATGTCTTCACCTATGCAATTTTAGAAGGCAGCTGCTGCTTTTTTGCATCAGCCGTAGGGACTCTTTATTGTTACTTTTCCTGGTTAGTTAATTCAGCTATTTTATAGGAGAGAATCCCTCCTGGAAGAGCTCGGCAACATAGTGTTAGGGTTCCTAAAATTACTTGCCCTGTAACTTGCCATTGTGCTCTGAAGTCCAAATCCCTTGTCTGTATTTATCTTCTTTTCAGGCGTTTCTGTTAAAGCTGGCCTACTGATACAGAAACCTATAGGCTCACCTTTTCCTTATGCGGGGAGTGTGAGGCTTTACAATATGAGGTACTCGCACCATATGTAGCGCTCCCTGGGGAGATATGCTGCAAAGTGTTTTGTAGCACATGTGGTGAGCGTATTTGGTATCTAGATGGAGCATTATTGTTAAGTAGAAGTTCTTCAGTTGGACAGTGCCTGCTGCTGTGGGTCGCACAACCATGTTACTTGAAAGTCTGACTCAGAAGGTCAGAGAACTCATGACTTTCAAGTTATATGTAAGCAGCCTGTGTAGGCCCGATTAATAATTCTCACAGTGTTTGGGCAGTAAATCTGCTCTGGGGAGCTGCTGGAAAGCTGAGGCTGGTGCAGCACTAGATATATCACTATCTATGGCATAGGATAATGCTAAGACTCTGAGCAAGCCAATATCCTTGCTATAGTTGAGTGAAGCGTGACAGCGGTATCCCGTGCTTGTTCCTAGGGTAGCTTTGTGTACTAAGCAACCTGTGCTGTTCACTGCTCCTAGTGTTGTGCAGGCACTAGGATACCTCCAAAGCATTAACTGCTTCCCTGGATTCCTTTGGTTTTGCAGCAACTCACTTAGTGGGATTGTGCTAGAGATGAAACTTCTGCACAGTCCTGATTAGTTGGCTCTTACCGCAGTCTCTGGTGGGACATGTTTGGTTCTGTTACCTGGGGAGCCCACAAGTGGTATGTGAATACTGGTAGGAGTGATGGGTAGTGACAAGTCACATGAGACAGCGTGGAGGAGAATTAGCCGAACGGAGTGAAAAGAATAGTGGATTCAAAGTGCTTCAGAGCAAGGGTAAGTGAAAACAGAAGATACTAGCTCGTAGGAAGAAATACCCTTCATGCTGCTTGTGTTGTCTTGAAACTCCTCCTTTCAGAGCTAGCATTGGTTCCAGGATGTCCTGTTAGGGGCACAGGTTTCATCATTCACTCTTTAATGCCAGGTTTGTTAGCACTGCTGCTTTAATGATGAAACTTTGCCTTGATCAAGATAAAATAGATGTGGTACCTTTCAGTTCTCTTCTGGACTCAGCTTTTTTACTAAATGGCTTATGATTGAAATCATTAAAATTTCTAAGCCCTCTGATGGAGAGTGCTGTATAACTAGGCATCGCTTAATTTTGCGGCTTCACATCAGAAAAAGGTAGGAAGAGTAGAAGTATTTGATACGCTTTTGTCACACAAGCTTTGGTGAAGTGATACTTCAGCTTTCTAAAAGGATTTTGCTGCCTGGCTGTTTCTTTGGTAGGTTCGATAATGGAACAGGAAAGTAATTTGGCGTGTTTATTTTTTAAACCACCTCCCTCAAAAACGAAGATAGTGATCTGCTTTTAGGGACTGGGAAAGTGTGCTGTACTTCAGAGTTTCCCTGAGTGATCTTTCACATACCGCAAACTTGAGAAGCTCTGTTAAAGGAGAGCTACAGGTAAATCACTGTTTAGATCAGAGTGCTGAAGGAAGAACACATCAGCTGCTCTTCAGAGACACCGAATTAACATGGAACAGATTGTAGCTAGTTGCCACCTTTGATGTTATGGTACAGCCTCTAAAGATTACAGCTTACTTGTCCCAGAGTGTGTTCATGTACAGGCCTGACCTAAAGCTCTTGCTCCTGAGTTTTTTGCATAATCTCGTAACAGAGATTTGGTCAGTATTTTATAACTTTGTTTCAACTGAAGGATGGTGTGCTATCTTTAGGTTTTCCCAACTTGTTTGAACTTCTTTAGTAATGCTCTTTGACACAGCTGCGTCTAGGCACTTGTGCATGCAAGTTGCCAGTCTGGCAGTAAATATGTCTGAAAAGCCCATGAACAGCATTATCTTTTGATGGTGAAAGTTAGTCTGACCTGGCATGCCAGAAATATCTACCTTCAGCTGTTCTCCAAACAGGAGATTGAGGGATGTAGGTGTATTTTGAGTCTTATTTTGTATCTTAGTGCAGGATGTATTTAGTGGAGAAAAGATTCCTATATAAGGAAATCTCTGTAATAGATCTAGTTGTAGAAACGAGAGGGTGAAGAAATTCATATGTTATTCCATACTAAATATTTTTAATGCCTTGTGCGGTCCATTGCAGCCTTCAAATTATCCAGCTGATAAAGTTCTTTAAGTCCAATTGAACTGTATAAAAATATCATCTTAACAGTCTTGATTTACTGAA